CTGCTATAAACAAAAAATTGTAGGATTACTTACTGTGTGTGTACCATTCAACGACGCCATTGCTTAAGCTTGTTTTCATTGCGGAGCAGCACACCAAACAGCGGGTGCGTTTTCTGATAAGTTATTTTTCTGCGAAAAATTTGCTGAACTTTGGAGACATCATTAATAGAAATAATTTTTATGGCCGTTGAATAAGAAATGTTTTTTTCACAAGAAATGTATAAAATTACAGTACTGTATTAGACTTACGGTACCTAATTTATATACCGTACAGACGATAGTAAACTCAACTTACCCGCCTAAACTCTCCGTAACGTGTAAGTAGTTTGGCTGCTCGTCCACTATTGGTCCAGATTTGACCAATCCTCTCGCGGCACGAGTCGGCGATGACGCTTTACTGCATTTTACGAGTCTCTTTTAGCGTCTTTATACGAATACGGTCACAATTTTTTCGCCACGATATACGAATCCGCATTATATGAACCCGCATTATAGGGGGTCAACTGTAGTTTTTGTATCGGTACATTTACACTTAATTTACATTGACACAGCAGTGCAGTGCTCTTATAAGCCAAAACAAGCTGACCCACATAAAAGTGTGCTCTGGTAAGCAAAGCTGCGTGCATTTCAAAAACTCAAAAACAGTTGATTTTCATACATTAGAGAATGTTCTTTGTGCATAAATAACATATAGCCTATACCGACGATTTTCAAACTTTTTTTGGCCACCGCCACCTTAGTTTCGTAAAAGTGTGCCCAATGCCCCTAACCATTTTCCCTTGGAGTGAGAAAGGCTTGGAAATATTCTTAAGAAAACTTTTCTATGAATCTCACACTGTGTCGACATCTGGAAATCATTAAATGCAAATCTTTTTCCTTACGTATTATAATAGAGTAAAGAGAAGGGTTGTCAGTGACCCCGACTGTCGCTTACGGTCGCTGTTCCGTCAGTACCTTGCCTCCGGTTTTTCCCTGCCGCACACTTATGTCTTTTTACCCCTCTAGATTTACTTCGTTTCCTGTTGGCCTATACGGTAGAATCTCATTTTATGGGATTGCAAAACAATAAATTTTTTCACCGTATCCTGTCGAGTCAATGTAATTTTACCTTCTTTTGACAGATCTGTAACTCAAAATAATAGATTTTTTTCTAGCCTCATCTACTGTAAAAATTGTGTTTGTTTTAACGTTTAATTAATATTTGTTTGTTGTTTAAAACAATAAATTATTAATATTTGAATATTTCTTTGATAGAAACATGGCAGGAAGCAGATTAGAAAAACTCGGAACTATATTTTCAAGGTAAATTTAATTTGAGTATACTAAAAATTACTGTTTAATAATAACCCTGGTATTCTGTTATAGACTATATAAATTTAAAATAACTGGATTTTTATTAATTAATGTAAACTGTATTAGAATGACTGGTTTACTCCGTTCTGGAGCTCTTAAAAAGGAAGATAAGCCAACTTGGTATGATATTTATAAAGCATTTCCTCCTCTGATCGAACCAATTTTTAAAAGAGAGGTATCTGAGAAGGAAATTACTCAGATTTTCTATCCTGAAGATGTTTACAGAGCGTAAGTTAACATAAACTTTAGTCTAATTTTTAAAACTGAATAATTCAAAATTATTTATTTTATGTAGGAAATTTTACAGAAAATATGGTTCTGATATTATTGACATGGCTGATACATCACCAACACTGTCTGAACAGTAAGTTCTTTTCTGTCTTTTTTATAATAAACAGAGAGAATTTTGATGTTGCAGAAAGTTTATGAAATATTAATTTTTATTATGTTTCAAATAATTTTCAGTTAAAATTAGGAATAAATCTATATATATATAAAATTACATATCCTGACTGAGTGACTGATTCATCATCTCCCAGAGCAAACTGCTGAACCTAAAAAGATAAAATTTGGTACACAATTATGGTTCGGCATGAAAATGCACACTAAGAAGGGATTTTTCAAAATTCCCCCTGCAGGGAAGAGAGAGAGGATTAAAGCTTAACCTGAGGAACAGCTTCTACTGTACTATTTTAGAAGTGATTTTTTTTTGTTTTTGATAGTAATAACTTAATTTCCAAACATACAGTATTTACCAAATCATCCAAATCATTTGCCAGAGCACTGCCAGGCTCATTTGCTGGTTATTATATATATATAAACTGAAAATTGGATAATACCAGATCGTCAAATGAAAATTTTATTTTTATAACCATTTAAAAGGGGTTTTTTTAACGAATAAACCGAAATGTTATGTCTTTTGAATCTGATGCTCACGTGAGTTCAAGAATTATTCAGAAAATGATCAATTATCAGATATTTTATTTAAATGCATTTTGGATCATAATTCTCACTGATCTCTCCTCAGTCTGTACAATACAAAATAATTTTATTGTTTTGTAATTTACAGTTAAAATTTTTTTAAAAAAGTTATAAAATATTAAAATAAATGACTTACAATTATTAAAATTATGAAAATTTTTCTTGCAAGAAGTAGAGCAATAAGTTGTTTCGTGAGCCAGCCATAATTGTTGTTGTTCTACTATGCATGCAAGAAATACTTTAAATCTTGAATATATGTTTGTGATGAACTTGAAGGGATAACATGTGAACCTTTAAATAAATTTAAAAAATTCAGCAATGAGTTGTATAACTTTCCTGGCAAAAAATATTTGTTTAAGAAACACTAGCAAAATTTTAAATTGTGTATAACACCATCTGTTATGAGAATTTATCATGAAAAAAATTTTATATTAATTATTATAAAATGGCAAAATGCTTAAGTTTGAGGGTAGAAATGAGTTTTATTTTTAAAAATTTTAAATGTTAATAACTAGTAAAATCTTCTTAGAGTCTAATACATCTCAAGATATGACACCTGACCCCTTCTATCATCCCATTCTCTTGACATTTAAGTATTAAAATTTAATAGCATAAATGTTCTTTATACACAAGCTACCATACCAAATTTCCTCTCAATAATTACCCCATCCCAAGATATTAAGTGAAATAGATGCCAACATGCACATAAATACATATCCATGGAATTTTTTTTTCTCTCCATTTTTGACTTTTTTGGATTCAGGTCTCACAACATGAGACTTTCAAAAAAAAAAACTCAGTGTCAAATTTCATGATTCCAATACTTTCTCTTGTTATGTATATATAATAGCTAGAAAATTAATGAGCAACCTTTATTTTATCAGTGAAATTCCATTATAAACAGAGCTGGTAATACAGGTAAAACAGACTCAAGATAAACATCTTAAAGATTTTCTGGTACTTGCTTCTAAGTGTATCCAAATATCTTGAAGACTTTCCTCTGACAACTTTTGTTTGACATCTCTGGTTTTATTACACAGAGTGCAACAGATCTGTGTAATATTTTTTATTAAAATGATTGTAAATATACTAACTTTGCNCTGAATACACTGAAAAGCGACAACACTACACTAGTTCACACTACAATCAGTGTTGCTGAATTGTTGTCTCGCTGCACCAGAAGTGACACAAAGCGCAATTCACGAAACCTATGACATAAAGCGTGCCATTTTCAAACTTTCACAAATTATTTTCAATATTTTGCATTAAAATCTCGCAATCCCAAGATTTCGCTAAGCGATTTTTCAAATGGGACCATAGTTTAAGAAGCTCTGGCCTACACAAATGCATTGAAAAAGTTTCTTTTTCCTTTTGTGGGATTTGGTGAAAAAATTAAACTTTTTAATAATTTACATATGTTTGTTATTACATTTGTTACAGATTTTACATACAAATAAGCAAACAAAGTTCACTTTTTAATAAAACAACCTATGTTTGTCTACTTAGTTGACTTTGGTTTTTTTAATGACATTATTGAAACACAAATATATATAATATTATAAAGCAACAGAAATGAACTTTAATAAGCAAAATGAAGTTATTGAAACAAATTTCTTACTCCACGGCCTTATCACAAAATTCTTGGTTTTTTTAGCTTTTATGTAAGCTTTTTGTAGATTTAAATTTGTTTTATTTAAAGATATGTACAGATATATCAAGAACTGAAAAAGAAAGGAAATGTAAATAATCTTGAGAAAGCTACAGAAGAAGCTCTCCTACAAAAGGGAATCAGATTGAGTAGAAAAGAGGAAGTGAAAAAGGTATTAAAATAAACTTTAAAAGTTTTTAAATATTTATTTTCACATTACAAAATGCATGAGAATAAATTAAATATTTTATTTCTAATTATAAGTAATAGTAATAATGACATATAAAAATATATTTAGTACAATAGAGACTTGTTTTACACTAGATTGTTATATGCAGATGGTGATTAGTTAGGGTAACCAATTCCTAGTGCCACTGATTCTTATTAAGTCAGCTAACTATACTTCATCATCCTTTATTCTGTAAACAGAAAACTATCAAATGCTACTCAGTGATGAATAATCTGATTTGCTTACATTTTTATCAAGTAGTGTAATCAACCAATTACTATTCACTTTACTTTTAGCATGAAAGCACTTATTGGTTAACTTCTAACTCCTAAATCTTGACTAAGATGACCAGACGTCCTGCTTTTTAACAATTTGTCCCACGTCTCGTGGTGTTTTAAAAAAGTCCCGACTTTTTGAAAGGATTAAATTTTTATCAATTATGTGTCATAAACTTGCGTCTTATGTTTAAGATTCAGTAAAGATTGTTTCGTATTGTGGCTGTACAACATATTAGATATATATTTTGTTCTAATTTTTGTGTATTTTCCTTTCTTTGGTTTGTCTATTGTTTGTTCTTTGCAGAAATTTTCTTCCCAACCCTTCTTGCTTGGTGGTGACTAATCCCTTTAGAACAAGAGAGGAATGTGACTTTGAGGGCTGTGTGTGTGAACAATGGGCATTCTTTGCTGGGACTTCGACAAGATAGGACGGATGAAAAATTACAATATAATATAATTTTACATTATTTTTTAGTTTTTTTAGCATAATGAGCAAGAAAAGAGAATGCTAGTTCAACGATGATCTAAGAAGTGAATTTCTGTTTATTAAGAAAACCAAAAGCGATCACATTGTAAAATGTGAGAAATGTAATGGTAAATTTTCTGTTTCACACGGTGGGAAGAATGATATTTCAAAGCATTTGGAGACACAGAAACATAAAAGGTATTTAAATATTGCTGAATCTTCCTCAAAAATATAGGACTTTTTTCAAAAAACAAGTTATGGAGACGAAGAAAAGCAATTAGCATTGGCAGGACTTGTCTTTTCATGCTATTAATCACAATCATAGCTTCAGGTCAATGGACTGTTCATCACAAGTTATCAAAATGTTATTTAACAAAAAATTTGCCCGTGCTAGAAAAAAATCTGAGGCAATCGTGTGTAATGTGCTTTCCCCATATGCATTGTCAGAATTTTAAAAAAAATCTAGAAAAAACAAATTTTATTTCCATATATTCTGGCACATCTAATCATAAGGATAGAAAAATATTTCCAACTGTTATTAGATTTTTTGATTTGGCAACAGGAATAAAAATTAGAATTTTAGATTTTGTATCATTGCCCGGCAAAACTTCAGAAATAATTGTCAATTCCATTATTAATATTTTGGAAAAAACAATTTAAAACATAAAATGATTGCATATTGCGCAGACAATACAAATGCAAATTTTGGAGGAAAAGCGAGAAGAGATACAAATAATCTATACTAATATTATAAAGAGGTAATGTATGTATGTATGTTAGTTTGTATGCAGCAGGTAATCTCCGAAACTACTCATCCGATTTCAAAAATTCTTTCACCAATATTTAGAATGGAACTTCAGGGTGGACATAGGCTATATATTATTCCGTTAAACATGGGGGATGGACAGTTCTTTACGGTAAGCCTTACGGAAAAGGTTACCGTAAAGAACTCTGCTTCTATTTATACCATTTTAGATGCAGTTTTTTCCGTTTTTGATTGCGTTTTAATAGAGTACGTCAACAGAATGTACACTAAGAAGGGATTTTTCGATATTCCCCCCGCGGGGGAGAGAGACAGGATTAAGGCTTACTCTGAAAAACTTGGCTTCTATTATACTATTTTAGATGCGGGTTTTTGCGTTTTTGATTGCGTTTTAATAGGGTACGTCAACAGAATGTACACTAAGAAAATATTTTTCGAAAAATTTTCCCCCACTGGGGAAGTGTTATACATTTATAATAGATACATTTTGAGCCACAACAAGGCGTGGCGGGGTCTGCTAGTATTTTTTATAAATTAAATGAAAACCTTAATCAAAACATTATTAGTGTTGGTTGTGCAGTGCACATAATACATAACGCTATTCAAACAGCTGCCAACTTGCTGCCCGTAGATGTGGAAAATATTGGGTACGTTCGTAATGTCGAACAAGTTAAATGCATTAGTAACGAATTGTTCGAATAGTAATAGTCTCGCCCAGTGCGCATGCTCTGTGGTGATGTTTCGAATGAAACTTTAACGAAGTTCACGAAGGAAAGAGCTAGTTCAGTTCATTAAGAAAATGGCGTCCAATGATATCGATGTTACTAAATCTACTCGAGTGTTTAAACTGAATTAAAGGGTGAAATGATAGAAATAACTGTCCACCCGAAGCAATGTAAGAAAAATATTTCAGATAAGGCTGCACTAGTAACATTCATATCTTCCATTTTAGAAACACTATTTAGTTATATGCAAATCGTTCAAAAAGTCTAACATAATAAGAATAACAATGACGTTATTCTCGTTTAAGTCATTCGACATTACAAACATACCCATTATTATTAAAACATATTCATATTTCTATATATACACTGTGCGTGTTGAAAGCCTTAATGAATTTTACGAAACTGTGGAAGTCGTTATTACACGAAGAAATTACATGGATATAGTAAAATGTTCTGGTTAGCTCTTTTGCCAGCTATTGAACAAATTTTGAAAATACAATAGTCGTTTATCCGAAACTTCAGTTAACCGAAAGAATTCCAGTCGGCAAATTAAAATTTTCGCTAGTGCTGTGGTGCTGCAATCTTTGGCTATATCTTGGGCTATTCCAATATTTTTTGTTGATGTGTGTGTTTTAGCTGGCAGCACTGGCACTTTTGTGTGGTGTTTTTCTGAGGACTGTGTGTCGTGCTGAATCGAACGTTTTTGATACTAGATTAACTTCTAAAGTATAATTATTTTTGTTTTTATATTTTTCAATATATTTGTTTGTAAAAAATAAAGAAATAATTTTTAATGATACAATAGCCATGATTATTATTTTAAAAAGTTTACGTTAGGCTTAACATTGACGAAAATTCAATGCGAAGTGACACGCAACAGAAAAAAATTTCAACATAGGATAGGTTAATATATTTTTTCGTACATAATCGGTTATCCGAACAACCCCAGTCCCCAATTGATTCGGATAAACAAAGCTCTACTGTATATGACCCTTTGAAATCTTACTTTCTGTCACAGGATAAATGTCCTAGAATTTTAGAAGAGTTTTTTGAAAAAGAAGCTTCAAAAATTTGGCTAGAGTTTGTACACAATCAAGCAGCTGTTTTTCAAAATGCTGTAAAATTTATTGAAGGTGACAAAATTTCAGTAATCGAAGTAGCAAACGAAATTAAAAATTTTAAATTTCAGTGTCAAGAGCGGTTATAAAATAATTTTCTTCCATTAATCATCTGTAATAATATAAGTCAGAAGAACAAGGTGCAATAAATCGCACAGATGTCATGAATTGTATCAAAAAATTCTATAGTAATTGCTTAGATTATTTAGAAGAGTGGACAGTACCTTACAATGATATTGAACATTTTCATTGGGCCATGTTATAACAAGAACTTAATTGGGAAGATGTGCAAAAATCATTCGATCACATTAGTCAACATTTTCCAGATAGCAATATTTCCAAAAATAATCTTTTTAATGAAGTATTATTATTAAAAAAATATATTGATAAGGAAAAGCTTAAATTTGGGCATCAGCAAAAATCTCAACAAAGAACAAATGGCTAAAAATATTTCATCATTTTGAAACAAACCATGTTCCATACAGTAACGCATTAAAAATTATGGAATACACACTGTCCTTACCAGGAACAAATGCCCCACTGAATGCATTTTTTCTACCGTAAATAAAGTGTGGACATCCGACAAATCACAATTAAGTGTTGAGACTATAAAAGCAATATTATGTGTAAAATATAATTTAACAAATTCTTGTGAAAAATTTTATGACATTTTTAAACAATGACAACAATTTATTTAAAAAAATTCACTCAAATGAGAAATATATAAAAGAATAGTTTTTAAAAATTTATAATAGTATATATACAGTAATACCCCGAACTTACGCGATAGGTGGGACTGAGCGGTAACCACGTAAGTCGAATTTGTGTAAGTCAGGGTATAATTTCGCATATAAATAAATACAAATAATTTTTAATTGGGGCCGGATACTAAAGAAAACAATAATTTAGAAAAAATGTTTAATAAGATCTTAGATAATACATGTGTATAACAAATTAGTCCTATATTATTTTACAATTTTTTACATTTACTCGATTGTTACACCATAATTTTAACATTGTTTCCATCTCAGCAATAATACTGGGACGTTTACGAATGATGCTCAAATTTAAAGATTGAGCATTTTTCATAGCTTCGAGAATTTTTCTTTGCCTTTTATAATTGTTTTGACTGACAATTCCGGTAGATCAAACTTCTTTGCCAATTCACAAATTTTCATTTTTGTATCGAAGTCTTTAATAATGGGTATGTTCGTAAAGTCAAACGAGTTAAACGTGTTAGTAACGAATTGTTCGAAAAGTCTAACAAAATAGGAATAACGATGACGTCATTCTCGTTTAACTCGTTCGACCTTACGAACATACCCAATGTTAACTTTACATTCCAAAGATAAAGTTTTTCTTTTCTTGTTTGATGCAGAAGAATTAGTTCTACTTCGTTTGGATGACAAAGTAGAGTCTCTCGCGTCTCCGTAGATATAACAAACACAGAAATAACACAAAATAAATTGTAGCTATGTGTCGATTCCGTGCAACACATCCGAACATGTAAGCCGAACAAATAGTGTGGGGGGAGTGAGTAATCGAGAGTTGCATGGCACTGAAACAAAAAACGAATCGACGAGATTTGAAAATCGCGGGTTCGTGTAAGTCGGTGTAGCTTAAGTCAAGATATTACTGTATTTATTATTATTGTAAATTTTACATATGTTGAAATTTAAAAAAATACAATACAATTTTTGCATTTTTTTTTAATGATAAAATTTTGTTGCTTTAGAACAATTTTTTTAACAAGACAACCCCTTTCCCTCCCTGTGAATTTTGTCCCACTTTATCAATGTTAAAATCTGGTCACCTTACTCTTGACCTTTGTTGTGAAGATGGTTGCAAATGTTGCTCACTATAGTAAAAATGTAAGAAAAATGTTCTAAACGTATTTTCATGTTTTTCTATTAACCCCTCATTGGCTTCATACTAACAGATGGGCAGCAATTTTGGCCATTTATGGAGACAATACACACTATTAAAGTCAGTACAACACACTAAAAAAATTATTTGTTCTGGTTGTTTAGATGTGCATATTGTTGATCCAGTATATTGCAGCAAGTGCAAAAACTGAAAATATAACAATTTGGCTTAAATTCATTTTTTTCCACATATTACTGTATCTTTATGTAACAATAGCATAGAAAATCATTTATGATGAACATCTCTTGTTTCCCAATTGTTTTGACGTATTTGTATGCTATGTTAGTATCTCTAAAGTCATTATAAATTCTGCATTTTTTTTTTTTAACAAGGACTTAACAATTTTTTATTTGAATATATTGTGAGCAATAACTATGTTAATTTACAATATGTAATTCTTATAAAACAAGAAAGAATGGGGAGATTTAAATTACTAATATAATGCTTGCAATATTAAGAAGGAATCAGAATTGAGATTCTAATTTTAAGCACAAAACAGCAACTAATTTAGATCTAAACACTGATTTTGAATTATTTGTTTTAACATAATGACAAAATTCAAAATTTTAATAGATCTTTTCCTTCTTAATTTTTCATTTATTTAAATTAGAGATAATGCAATTAAATAGCTAAATTATTTTAAATTTTTGTATAATGTCAAAAGTAACAGATATATATTCTGTAATAATAATTAATGAAATAAATTCATTTTCAAAATACTTTTTACATTTTGTATATTTTTAGGAAAATATAGGAAAAATTACATCTACAGTTAAGGTGCCAGATAATGAAATTTCATCAACAGAACAATATTCAAGGTCAAACATAAACATTGTCCCAGATGAAGGTAGATATAATATAAAAGATACAGAAACCTCTGAAGCTTTCAAGCTATCCATATCTGATGCATTTAAAACTGCCACAGTTCAGGAATTAACACAAAGCGAAACAAATGTGCCAATTAATGAAGATGCATTAAAATTTATAAAATCATCAATAACCAAAAAATGCAAATCCAAAGATGATCCAAAGTCAGATGACAAGACTACATGATTTAGTACAGTTACCATTTAAAGAGTCAAAGCAGTTTAAATATCAAAATTCAACACATAAGAAAATTATATTTAGACTAATAAAAATTTGTTGAAAATGTTTTATTTCTTAATTTTTTTTATCTAGATACAGTAGAGCCTCGATTATCCGACTCAATTGGGGACTGGGGTTGGTCGGATAATTGAAAAGTCGGATAACCGAAAAGTATGAAAAAATCCATTACAGTAGAGCCTCGATTATCC